GTTGTGTAGGCTATAGTGGGGTATCCCATAGGGGGTACAACCAATTAGGGTTTCATATTTGTACTCACTTCATTTCATAGTTCATTCATTCTTGTTCAAATATTCTCAGCTACAATAGGAGTACCTCTTAGAAGTGACATTTCAGTAAAGGCTCGTTTGAGCGTACAGTACATGTACATAATCGGATATATATGCCTTTCTATCAACAATTCTTGTTCTCATTTACCAGTATAGACTAATTTACAGTCTTTTGCTTCATTACAGGTCCACGCCTAGCCTCTAAAAGATTATGACTTTCTACCCAGTGTAGTAGCTGCTATTTATCGGAAAACAAAACTTCGTTAATTCGTAAGACTTACAGTCATGCCGTAATCTCCTAGCAAGAAGACCCCCCTGTCAGAATAGTAGCAGCAGCGCCCCGGACTACTGGAGTAACTGGCTCCGCGGCTAAGACGAGCGCCAGGAGCAACGGACCCACGGGCGACTGGCGCAGTAGGCTCACTGGGCTACCGGAGCAGAGCCCCGGACTACTGGCGGTGCTAACAACCCGACGGCTGCCTCCGCTCAACCTCCCCCAACTGTCCCACCCCCCCTTCACACACCCTTTGCTGCACCCCTAGCTCCACTCCCACGACACCCCCCTAGCACCACTCCCTCGGCTCCCACACACCCACCCCCCTCAGTGGTAGCTGCAGCAGTGGGAGACGGAGGAGGAGGAGGAGCAGGAGATGACTCACACACCCACCACCCCCATACCCGCCAACCCCATACCCGCCACCCCAAGACCCCCAACGCAGGCAGGGCGGGGCAGATACGTGGGAAGCAGCTGGGGCGGCGTGCGAGCGGAAGCGGGGCGGGGCGCGGGCCCCCAGGGCGCCGCGACAAACGACGGGGGGGGGGGGGGGGGGGGGGGGGGGGGGGGGACGCGCGGGTCCTTGAGGGCGCCACGACGGGCGACGGGGGGCGACGCGCGGGTCCCTGGGGGCGTCGCGACGCACGACCGGGGGGGGGGGGGGGGGCGCGGGTCTCTGGAGGTGCCACGACGGGCGACAGGGGGCGACGCGCGTGTCTCTTGGGGCGTCGTGACGAATGACGAGGGGGGGGGGGGGGGGGGGGGGGGGAGGGGGGGCGCGCGGGTCCCTGGGTGCGCCACGACGGGCGACGGGGGGGCGACGCGCGGGTCCCCTGGGGCGTCGCGACGGGGCAGGAAACCGCCACGCGCCCCGAGCGCGTGGCGGGCAGAAAACCGCCACGGGCCCAGAGCGCGTGGCGGGAAGAAAAAACGTCGCGCGCCACGGGGCGCGCGACAGACAGTACAGCAGCAGCGGAAGCATGTGGGCCCACAGGCCAGGAGCGCAAAGGCTCTAATACCATGTCAGAATAGTAGCTAGAACTTAATAGCCATAGTTAGGGTTTTTGGTTCTAGCATGAGAGTCGAGATTGTTTGGCCAAAGAAGATGATGCACTAGCAAGCAGGAGGGGTACAAATAACAAGCCCCACTATTGAGCACCCCACTGCAGACTAGACAAACATAATGTTCTGACACCTCCTCCGCATAAGGGCCTTTTATTTTGTCAGTCCGTTAAGGATCCGCATTTTGCCTCAATTCAATTTAATTCACCCCCTCTGTTGTACTATGCTATAATGAGAGGTGTTTAATTGGTAAGTTGTTCAGCGAGACAAAAAAAAAAAAAAAAAAAAAAAAAAAACACAGATTCACAATGCCACATCAATCACACGTTTTCGCCACCCGTCCCGTAAGAATGACGACGTATCTGTCACGATTGGGCATTACTGAACACGCGAATATGGAATCAGTGAGAATGGGGTACGAGAATGTGATATTATGCCTTTGCGTTGTGAAGGAATCCGAATTTCAATACAAAAAATTTTAGAGTTTCTTCACCACTGCACTACACAATCCATTTTTTAGTAATTAATATTTGTCCAGAGTTCTGCACTATATGCCATTAAAGAAGACCCCACATCCCTTTTTTAGCAACTTGGGAGAAGACCTTCAGGTCTTCCAACTGGAAGATTATGGTGTTAGGAGGAGAAAATGGCAAGAATAACTATCAGAGTGGTGGAAGTGGTGGAACGGATAGTCCTTGAGGTCCACCATTGTCAAGTTCAATGTTTAGCCATGCTTCAACAACTGCATTAGCAACTGGATTAGGAGGCACCGATGGTTTCCCGTCACTTTCGCTAAATCTTGGAGATAGTTGCTGCTCAGGCTCGGTATCGCTTGTTCTCAGGGCGTATTCCTATCCTCGTATCAAGAGAACCTCATATCAAGCTCCCACTGAAAATTCCCCTAAACCCAAAACTTCTCACTAGTTTTACCAGGCAAAAGGTACAATCTTGATACGAGGTGGCCTGATATGAGGCCGTAGGAATACGCTGTCATAGTTCAACAAGGCATGCAGTGAATGTAGCAGTTCTTCGCACGAGCACAAGCATCAGCATCAGTGAATATGGGGACATCACATATGCGTATTGACGGTACATCGTATGTGCAACAGCAACAGCAACCCATGGCTTATCAACTTCCGCCTCGGCAGCATCCACGGAGCTACTTTGCCTTCATACCCATTTGTGTGAATGCTATTGTTCAACAACAACAGCAACAAAAACAATAACAACAGCAGGATGGGGATGCAACACCCAGAGACATTACAAGATGTCAGACGCACATGTTAAACATTCTTAAGTTTCAAGCTTCAAGGCACTTCGACGGCAAGGACTTCTTAGCCCGGTATTGCGAGTTCGAACTCATGATGGAAGTGGCTCAAATATGGGAGTGATTCTTTGGAGAAGCATAGTTTCCAACTCAGGGCACACTAGATGAACGACTCAACTTGGTCCTTCCTCAACGTCTCTCACCAACGAAGAAGAAGAGTGTTAGGGGATACATGGAGTTCGGAACTCTGCAACATTGGCATGGCAGCACTTGAAGCAGTTATATCAAGCTGTAGTCAGCGTTACGAAAAGCAGACCCATGCTGCAACTCTCGACAGTGCAAATAGAAATAAGGAGAGTCAGCACTGCTCTACATTAAAAGATGTAGAGAACTACGTGATCAATATATGTGAAGCGCTCTGGCGATATGTTCGTCATTGTAGCTATTGCTGAACTTGGTCATCAGTGGCTCAAGGAAAGCTATTTTCTTCGTACCTAGGGCAACGTCTCTGATATGCACTTCAAACTCTCCTTCCTCTCTGTGAGGCCACTCCCAGTGAGGGGAGTGTAGAAAGCACATTGGAATTGGCCTCTGGTTTTGCCAGAGGTGCTACAAGCAGAAGTGTTTGGGAGGCGTGGGTGCACTGACCTACCACACCAAACATGCCCTTTGAGCCAATTGGTTAATGAACCAGGTCCTTGTTGGGAGGGGCAGGGTTCAATTTCAAGCATCGTCGCTTTTAGGAGAGTGGAGAGCGAACTTTCCTTCCTCTATATGAGGCCGCTCACAGTGTGAGGGCAGTGTGGAAAGGACATAAGAATTGGCCTGTGATTTGGCCGGAGGGACTACAAGCATTGTTTCACAATCATGGAACTTGGCAATCAACTTTTGTAGAAGATAAAGGAGAAGCAGAGATAGTAGCAACTCACCTGGCTGTGCTTTGACCTTGGTTGTAACTCTAAATCCTAGTACATCATGGAAAAGGGCCATTCGAGAACTAGAGAGAGTGTGTATATGTGTGTATGTGTGTTTGTAGACATATGCGTGTGTGTCGTATGTCCCTGTGTGTGTGTGTGTGTGTCTGTGTCGTATGTTAGTGCGTGCATGTGTATGTGTGCATGCGCGTGCATACATGTGTATGTATGTGTGTCTGCGTGTATGCGCACACATGCACGTGTGTGCATGTGTGTGTGTGCGCACATGCGCGCGCGCACGCGCACGTGTGTGTATGCTATACGTGTGTATGTGCAAGTTTGTGTGTGTGTGTGTGGATGTGCGTGCATGCGTACGTACATGTGTGCATATGAGTGTGCGTGAGCGTGTGTATGCGTATGTGTGTGTGTATGTGTGCACGCGTGTGTGCGTATGTGTGTGTGTGTACGTGTATGCATGTGTGTGTGTTGTGTGTGTGTGTGTGTGACCCTTTGTTTGTGTGCGTGCATGCAAGCATGAGTGCGTGCATGCACATGTGCGTGTATGTGTGAGGCTACATAGCTCCAACTGATACTGTGCCCTTCCTAGGGCTGCTTTGCTGGATGGCCGTGTCTCAAGCACGAGTGAGAGCATGGGTGCAACGTCAGCGTTCATTTGTCGTATGCCTAAGCACAGCAACTATGTCTTCACGGTATGCAATCAATGACACCCTTTTATGCCCATGATTCATGTGGTTTCACGTTCATCATGCCACGGCTCGCTCATACTGCTATTAATTGCACCATTGACACTTATACTACAAGTGTGAATAGGTGTTTTCCGGATTGCAGTTTTTTACTATCTCTAGTTTCACCCTTCCACTAACATTACACACTGACCGACCCCCTTGTATTATGTTGCACACAACAGTTTAAAAACTCCTTCAAATTGACCTTCTCCCTCATACCTACTCCCCTCTCGTCTCTCCCCTCACATGCCACAAACATTCGAGATTTTCCCCCTCGTCTCCACTATTGCGTGTGACAATTACATGCTTTGCCAGTTGCATTGCATGCCGCTACTTCTTTGACAACATAATGCCGTGCTGTTTACCATAGGTCCTTTCTTGCTATGTTCCGTCCCTTGTACCTCATTAGATCTATGAGTGTTCCTGTATTATCATGCCCTCATTCTCTTTTTCGTCCCACATTTGCACATCTCAACATATTTTAACTATATCCACCGCCATGTAGCTGGGAAGTTTCATGGGGTCAGATTTTATGCAAATGGAGGGAGCAGATGCACTGAAGCAAGCATCAGAGAGGAGAATTAGAGTTTCCATCCAAGTGGCACTGGCAAAAGGGAGCAGAGGAGGCTGGGAAGGAGAGGGCAGTGGAATAGAGCAAGCTAGGAAGGCAAGTGGAGGAAATCAGATATGGAGAGGGAGAGTGGTTGTTGAGATGGGTGAGTTGAGGGAGCGATTGGCAGCGACAATGGGCGGTGCTGATATGGTGTGAAGAGAGGAGGAGAAGTGGAGGGGAATGGAGCCCTGGCGAGAATGCTAAGGGCGTAGGGAGCAGAGGGTGGGTGGAATACATCAAGAGTGGGAAGACTATACGACAGCTGCACACATGGTGGGGCGTGAGTGTACGACAGGGTTGAATATGGTGGAACGGGAGGGAAGGAGGATGAGAAGGGGAGGGAGAGGGTGAGTGAGGGGCAGGGATAGGGGGGGGGGAAGAGGAGGGAGAGATGGAGGGGAGGAGTAGACAAGGGAGCCAGGGAGAAGGGGAGATAAGAGTAGAGGGGGAGTGGGGAAGGAGGAGGGGAGGGAGGAGATGAGAAGAGGGAGAAGATGAGGAGGGAGGAGGAGAGCAGGATGGAGGAGTGAAGGAATGAAGTGAGGAGGGAAGAGAGGAAGGAACAAAAGAAGAGGAATGAGAGGAGGAAAGAGGAGAGGAAGGACAGAAATAGAGATAGGAAGAGAGGAGGGAGGGGGCGAGAGGAGGGAGGGGATGGGAGGAGGGAGGAGGCACATGAATAGAAGTGGGAGAAGAGAGCAGGATTTGGAAGAGAGGAGGGAAGAGGAAACGGATGTGGTTTTTCAAGGAATTGGAGGTTGGAGGAAGGAAATGCAAGGTGTGGCTGATGGTGAACCGAAGTGTCAGGTGGCTGGGAAGTGACTGTCAGCTGACTGACGAGGGGTTTATTGAAAATTAGTTCATTATCTGTTTCTCTTGACAGAATGTGATTGTTAAATGCACGCAATTTTCTGTGAATTATGGAATTGGCGTGTGAGGGAAATATGTGGCTTTTAGAGTTTCATTCACATGTTAGAGTTTGGCTTGCATCAACCCCTCACATCAACTGTGCTTTACCAGGGACCACGCGTAAAAGGGTTCAAGGTAGATGCTGATATAGGTCAACCTTATATATCTATGATGCATGGGATGTGCAGCATTGTGATGGCTTGATTGAATCCGACGGTTAGGAGGAGCTCGCAAGAAGCAGCACTGCTGGTGGCACTCCACAGGAAGCACTGCTGCGACCATGCTCCTAGAGAACGCAATTTGGAGTGCTGACCTCCCTCAAGGACCAATACTTTCCGTCACTCAGGGAGAAATCTGCTTTTGTTTGTCAGTGCTACTAGTGCTGCCACTGCTGCCAGTGCTGCCAGTGTTGCCACTTTTGCCACTGCCGCCACTACCACCAATGCTGCCAACGTTGCTACTACTGCCAACGCTGCCACTACTGCCAACGCTGCCAATGCTGCCAATGTTGCCAGTGTTGCCGCTGCTTCCACTACTGCTACCACTGCCACTGCTGCTAGTGCTCCCAATGTTGCTAGTGCTCCCAATGTTGCTGCCGCTGCCACTGCTGCCTATGCTACCGCAGACGCCGCTGCTGCCACTGCTGCCACTGCTGCCGCTGCTGCCACTACTGCCACTACTGCCACTGCTGCCACTGCTGCCGCTGCTGCTACTGCTACCAATGCTGCCACTCCTGCCACTCTTGCCACTGCTGCCAATGCTGCCACTGCTGCCACTGCTGCTGCTGCTGCCACTGCTGCTGCTGCTGCCACAGCTGCCACAACTGCCACTGCTGCTGCTGCTGCTGCCACTGCTGCTACTGCTGCCGCTGCTGCCACTGCTGCTACTACTGCCGCTGCTGCCACCGCTACCACTGCTGCCACTGCTGCCACTGCTGCCACTACTGCCAATGCTACCATTGCTGTCACTGTTGCCACTGCTGCCACTATTGCCACTGCTGCTGTTGCTGCCACTGCTGACACTGTTGCCGCTGCTGTCATTGCCGTCGATGCTGCCGCTGCTTCAGATTCAGGAGCAGATGGCCTAGGCCCGCCCATGCCCCCTCCCATTCCACCACCGGATCCTCCGCCGCCCATTCCTCTGCCCACCCCACCCTCACCCATTCCACCCATTCCGCCGCCACCCGATTCACCATCATCTGTTCCACCACCACCCATTCCGATCCCACCCATTCCTCCGTGGCCCATTCCGCCCGCATCATTGCCACCGACGCCTATTCCGTCGCCTCCCATTCCCCCAGCGCCCATGCCCCCAGGACCCATGGCTGATTCTGTCCCCGGAGCATATCACTCAGGTCCGCCCACACCGCCACCCATTCCCCCGCCGCCCATTCCCCCACCGCCAACTCCACCACCGATCCAGCCTCCACGCAATCCGCCACCGCCCATTCCACCGCCATCCATTCTGCTGCTGCCCACATTGGAGAAGCCCATTCCATCCCCGCCCATTCCACCGCCGCCCATGTCATCATCGCCCCTTACTCCACCAGCCATGCCATCATCCATGCCCCCACCAGGACCCATGGCTGCTTCTGATCCAGGAGTAGATGACCCCACTCCGCCTCCCGTTCCCCCTCCGGTTCCTCCGCTGCCCATTCCACCGCCGCCCGTTCTATCCCCATCATTGCCAACGCCGCCTATTTCACCGCCATCCATTCCGCCGCCGCCCATTTCACTGCCATCCACTCCACCGCCGCCCATTCCCCCCCCCCCCCCCATTATTGCCACCTCCACCCATTCTGCCCCGCGCATTTCACCACCATCCGTTCCACCGCCTGCCATGCCCCCGCCTCTTCTTCCTCCATTGCCCGTGCCATCATCTATGCCCCCTCAAGGGCCCATGGCTGCGTCTGATCCAGGAGCAGATCACACAGGTTCGCCCATGCCCCCTCCCATGCCACCACCACCCATTCCGCCTCCCTCCATTCCACCGCCACCCATTCTGTTGCCGCCCATTTCACCGCCATCCACTCCTCCTCCGCCCATTCCTCCACCACCTTTTCTTCCTCTACTGCCCATGCCATCATCCATGCTCCCAGAGCCCATGGCTGCTTCTGATTCGGGAGCAGATGACACAGGTCCGCCCACCCCCCCCCCCAAATTCCACCTCCGGTTCCGCCACCTCCCATTCCACCACCACCCTTTCCGACTTTGCCCATTCCAATGCTGCGCATTCCGTCCCCGCCACTGCCCCGCATTCGAGTGCCACCGCCCATTTCTCTGGCGCCCATGCACCCCCCAGGACCCATGGCTACCTCTGTTCCAGGAGCAGGTGACCTGGCGGGTCGGCCCATGGCCCCTCCCATTCCACCTCCGCCGGTTCCTGTGCCACTCATTCCTCCCTGTAACAAGGCGAATGCGATCTCGCCGTCCGTGATTTTGCCAATGCGGAAATCAGTGATCTAAACCTGATTTCGGAACACGCCCTAAGAACATTTGGGAAATTCGAACTTGGAACTCAACCTCGAATTGTGCAGCTCGTATTTCTCAGTTTCCAACTTTGGGAACAACTGCAGAGAGCACGCTAGTGCTGGACACAACATGGCAGAGAGCTTCAACAACGCAGCAAAATACTTGACAACACAAGCAAGCATAATCTCCTACAACCATACCTTCTTCCAACGCAGCTTCTACTCATCATGATCAACGACAGCATGGACGACAACAAGACAAATAATCTCTGCCTATGTCTTTAGTGAATTTCTAGACTTTGCTAATTGGTTCTAGGCTATGACAACAAGGAAAGGATATCTTGTACATAATCATAAGAACTATGCCTTGCTGTTCTTAGCTTTAGGATTCTGAAAGGCGACCTAAGTGACTTGCTCGAGGCGCCATAGCTAGTATCCTGTTATAATAGGATGCACCTCTGAAATATAAGCCATCATATGATTTCTTGTAAAGCTATCTTGCTACTTTCATCCTGAAATTTCCCTAGGAGTGCTTCCTACTTCTACTACTGTGAAGTTCTTCAGCACTTCCCTTAGAAGCGGGCCCTGGTTCGTCCGTGCTCCCCTAGGCGCGGATACTCCAGATTCCTGGCTACCACTGCTCGCGGGGGCTGAGTTTCCTTCTTCACCAGTCTCTCCCATCGTCGGGTACGTCAGGAACGACTATTGACCAGCTCTGATACCACGTGTTAAGGTTAAGTACTATGCAGAAGTGATTAACTCAGAACCACAAACATAAACTAGGCAACACTTAACATCACTTGTGAACCAAGTGAGTAGTTATGCCAAGCTTAGCTTGTAGAATGAGCGTTCTGGTTGAGCAGAGTTTCGGCAGAAGTTCGTTGTATATCTACTTTCGTCAATACATAGTAGTAGATTGTAAGCTTGAAAATCATGAAATCATTGTTGATGAAAGCAAATACAAGCACACATATAAGAGAGGTCCTAGGTACACAAAGGAAAACACACAAAACAGTTGTCAAACTGTCGTCCAGGTTTTCGCTTTGCTGTCATTGAAAAACGGTTGTAAAACTGCTTTAGAATTTGGCTTGATTTGCCGCTGTAGAGTAACTGTCTTCAACCTGCACTGCTGCCAAATTCTCCTGCTGACTCTCCTCGCGAACATTCATGTTTACGCGTGTGCGATCATGAACGCCCATGTGAGATTCCCGTTTTTCAGTTACAAACGGATTTTACCGTTTTGTACCTCTGTCGAAATAATGACGCAAAGCAGCGCGACCTTCTGGCGAATTTTCCTGCTCGCTGAGTCAGCGCGAAAATTCCGTTAGCCAACTGCGAAGTCTCGCGTGCCCCACGTGCCCCTCATCACGACCGAGATATTTCTCGGTCGTGCAGGACAAGACGATCGCTGACACGATCATGCGCTGTCCTGCGCGTGACGGAGCGATCATGTCGCTCCGTCCTGTATCGATCGTGCGCACTGTGCACGATCGAAACAGTGGTGATACACGCGCATGTTTTGTGGTGCCACACGCGCGTGTGTCAGGACCCTACGCGTGGGTCCTGACTTTCGCGCCCTTGACTTACGCGAAAAAAGTCAAAGGGCCCGGTCAAAGTCTCGAGCCCCACTTCTCTCCGACACACTCGAAACTCACAACCAACCTTCATGAAAGAACTCGACATTCATGAAACACAGAACACTCATGAAACACAAAACTTTCATGAACGCACATGTTCGTCGATGAAAACAAACATGAGCGGACATGAGCTGACAGGAACGAACATGAGCCGACATGAACGAACATGACTCGTCATGATCCGTCACGACCGATCATGATCCCACAGCAACAACACATGAAACGAAATGCGAAAACGAGTGCACACAGAAGATACACAAAATGCATAACATTATGCAGGCGGCTGGTTGCAGTGCAAAAATAGTATTTTGCACCCAACAAACTCCCCCTCAAGCAATCGCCTGCTTGCACTCCCTTTGCGTGAGCCTAGTTAAGGCTCATGCCGCACAGCTTAGCACAACGCCAGTGGGGTTCTTCAGCCAGCCGCTTCGTGAGAAAATCTGCCGGCTGCTGCTGCGTCTTCATATAGAGGGGCTGGATGGATCTCCTCTGCACCTCCTTGCGCAGCCAATGCCACTTGATGTGCATGTGCTTGGTGAGCCCATGCAACACAGCGTTCTTGGACATTGCAATGGCACTGGAGTTGTCACAAAACAGCAGTGTGGCAGTCTTCTGTTCATGCCCTATCTCCTCCAGCAGCTTCCTCAGCCAAATCAGCTCCTTGGCTGCATGGTACATTGACATGTACTCTGCTTCAGCTGATGAACCCGCCGTTTCCACTTGTTTCTTTGACCTCCAGCTCACGGGCCCACCACCAATCATACACACATATCCTCCCACTGAGGACATATCCTCCTTTTCCGAGGCCTAAGTTGCATCAGCAAACCCTGTGAGGAATAACTCTCTCTCCTGAAGTTGCTCCCCCTTCTCCTTGAGAACCTCTGCTCCCTTCTGCTTCATCTGAGCCACGGCTGAGTATTGAACTCCAACGGTGGGGTAGGAGTTCAGATACTGGATGATACGGTCTGCTGCATCCACCTGCTCCTCGGTGGGATTTTGCACCACCCTGGCCAGTTGCCCCACAGCAAAGGAGACGTCCGGCCTGGTGTGCACTGCTGCATAGAGCAAGCTCCCCACCATAGACTGAAAACGAGCCGGCTCCCGCTGATCCACTCCTTCATTCTCACCGGCTTTGATGAGTTTGAATCCGGATGGAAGAGGTGTGGTAATCTTCCTTCCGACCTCTATCTCATACTTGCTCCCCATGTCGTTGATGTACTTTTCCTGGTGCAGATTCACCCATCCATTGCTGACATCCCTCTCAATATGCATTCCCAAGTAGTAGTTCGCCTCTCCCAGGGTCTTGCACTTGAAGTTTTGCATCAGTTTCTGCTGCACCTTCATCACCTCCTGCTTGCTGCTCCCGAACAAGAGGATGTCGTCCACGTACACCAGGAACATAACAAGGCTCTCCTTCTCCCCCATGAGGAAAAGGCCCTCATCACATGCACTCGCCCTGAACCCTATCTCCTCTAAAACCGAAGACAGCTTCTTGTACCAGCAGCGTGGTGCTTGTTTGAGGCCATAGATGGCCTTCTTCAGCTTGCACACACGCTCGGTGCCATCATCATAACCTGGCGGCTGCGACATGAACACCTCCACATCTATCAGCCCGTAGAGGAAGGCTGTGGTGATGTCCATCTGAATCATCACCCACCCACACACGGCTGCACCGGCGAGGAAAACACACAATGTTGTTGACTTAGCAGTTGCTGCAAAGGTCTCCTTGAAGTCCTCCCTTTCTTTCTATTGATAACCCCTTGCCACCAGCCTGCTTTTGTAAACTGACACAGCTCCTTTGTTGTCAGTTTTATTCCTTGGAATCCAGCCACAGCTTATGGCTTTCTTCCCCTCTGGCAGTGGCACCAGCTCCCATATCCCATTCTCCATTTGACTGTTGTATTCAGCATCTCTTGATGCCACTTGTCCCGGTCTGGTCCGTTAAGAGCTTCTTCCATGGTCAGTGGCTGAGTTGGTGCGGGTGCCATGAAGCAGTAGACTTCTTCCTCCGCTTCCTCGTCGGAGTCACAGCTGCTTTGAAGTACCAGTAATGAATCAGGTTGCTGCTGCTCTCACTCTGCTATTTTGTATTCCATCAGCTTCAATGCAGCTGCTCGCATCTGCCTTTTGATCATGGGTGAAAGACCATGGCCCGTGGGAGGGGATTTGGTTTTAGTCCTTCTTTGGGGAAGGGTGGAAGGAAGCACACGTATTATGGGGTGAGGGTCTTCTGGTACAGCCGTTGGCTCCACGTCCTTGATCACGGAAAGCTCTGCTGCACCTTCCTCCCCTTGTGCCGTTGAAGTCTCCCCCCCAATCCACTCCTCCTCAATCTCAAACCCCATGGTGGCCTGCTGCAGTTGCTGCACAATCTGCTCCCGTAGGTGATGTCTTCCATAAACTTGACGTCCCTGCTGTCAAACACAACTCTCTTGATCGGCTCCCACAGCAGCCACCCCTTGCTTTCGGCTGCCAGCCCCAAATGCACACACCACACGGCCGTTGCACCCAACTTGTGGCGATGAGCCTTTGGGATGTGGGCCACAGCCATGCAGCCAAACACACGCAGCATGTCGATGGGCGGCTTCCTCTCAAGCCACCTCTCCATGGGGACCCATGACTCACCACCGACGTTGGTGAACACCCTGTTCTTAACCACCGCGGCGTGGCGCACAACATGTGGCCACTTTGGGTTCCCCAACCCCGACTCAATGAGAAATGCCCGTGCCGTTTCTAATACCGTGCGGTTTGCCCGTTCCGCTATGCCGTTGGACTGTGGTGTGTAAGAGGTGGTGAGTTCTCGAATGATGCCCTACTTCTTCAGCCATGCAGTTAGCTCCTCCCCAAGGAACTCCCCGCCCTGGTCAGTCCTAATCCGCTTCACCTTCTGCCAAGACCGTTTCTCCACCAACGGCAGCCATTCATCGTGTATGGTGGATGGCACATGGTCCTTCTTCTTGATTGGGTAAGACCAGGTGACTCGGCTCCAATCATCCACGATGGTAAGGAAGTACCTCTCACCACGCTCCCCCACAATCGGTAGCGGCCCCACCACATCACTGTGCACCAACTCCAGCAGTTTCTTGCCGCCTCCCTCGGTTGCATGGAACGGGAACCGAGTGAACTTGCTTAGCAAGCAAGTTTCACATTTGTGGGTTGCTGCTGCACCTGTCAGTTTTAGTCCCTTAACCCCTTCCTCCTTTTGCAGTTGCTGCAGTGCGGGCATGGCAATGTGCCCGAGGCGACGATGAGCCATCATCCAGTCCGTTTCAACGCTCCTTGCTGAAA